AAACTCTGGATTCTGATAGAGGGCCATGAGACTTAGACCTGAGTGCAAAAAATGGAGGCTCTAGCCCCTTCCAGAGCTGAGATATCGAAACTCAAAAAATTCGGCCCGAAAAAAAAAACGACAGTGGTACCCCTTACGTTTTTTTTTTTTTGGGCGAAAAATTAAGTTTCTCCAATCTTCCCAAAACTCTGGATTCTGATAGAGGGCCATGAGACTTAGACCTGAGTGCAAAAATGGAGGCTCTAGCCCCTTCCAGAGCTGAGATATCGAAACTCAAAAATTCGGCCCGAAAAAAAAACGACAGTGGTACCCCTTACGTTTTTTTTTTTTTTGGGCGAAAAATTAAGTTTCTCCAATCTTCCCAAAACTCTGGATTCTGATAGAGGGCATGAGACTTAGACCTGAGTGCAAAAATGGAGGCTCTAGCCCTTCCAGAGCTGAGATATCGAAACTCAAAAATTTCGGCCCGAAAAAAAACGACAGTGGTACCCCTTACGTTTTTTTTTTGGGCGAAAAATTAAGTTTCTCCAATCTTCCCAAAACTCTGGATTCTGATAGAGGGCCATGAGACTTGACCTGAGTGCAAAATGGAGGCTCTAGCCCTTCCAGAGCTGAGATATCGAAACTCAAAAATTCGGCCCGAAAAAAAAAAACGACAGTGGTACCCCTTACGTTTTTTTTTGGGTGAAAAATTAAGTTTCTCCAATCTTCCCAAACTCTGGATTCTGATAGAGGGCCATGAGACTTAGACCTGAGTGCAAAAATGGAGGCTCTAGCCCCTTCCAGAGCTGAGATATCGAAACTCAAAATTCGGCCCGAAAAAAAAAACGACAGTGGTACCCCTTACGTTTTTTTTTTTTTGGGCGAAAAATTAAGTTTCTCCAATCTTCCCAAAACTCTGGATTCTGATAGAGGGCCATGAGACTTAGACCTGAGTGCAAAAATGGAGGCTCTAGCCCTTCCAGAGCTGAGATATCGAAACTCAAAAATTCGGCCCGAAAAAAAAAACGACAGTGGTACCCTTCCCTACGTTTTTTTTTTTGGGGCGAAAAATTAAGTTTCTCCAATCTTCCCAAAACTCTGGATTCTGATAGAGGGCCATGAGACTTGACCTGAGTGCAAAAATGGAGGCTCTAGCCCCTTCCAGAGCTGAGATATCGAAACTCAAAAATTCGGCCCGAAAAAAAAAACGACAGTGGTACCCCTTACGTGTTTTTTTTTGGGCGAAAAATTAAGTTTCTCCAATCTTCCCAAACTCTGGATTCTGATAGAGGGCCATGAGACTTAGACCTGAGTGCAAAAATGGAGGCTCTAGCCCCTTCCAGAGCTGAGATATCGAAACTCAAAATTCGGCCGAAAAAAAAACGACAGTGGTACCCCTTACGTTTTTTTTTTGGGGGGAAAAAATGAAGTTTCTCCAATCTTCCCAAAACTCTGGATTCTGATAGAGGGCCATGAGACTTAGACCTGAGTGCAAAAAATGGAGGCTCTAGCCCTTCCAGAGCTGAGATATCGAAACTCAAAAATTCAGCCCGAAAAAAAAACGACAGTGGTACCCCTTTCGTTTTTTTTTTTTGGGCGAAAAAATTAAGTTTCTCCAATCTTCTCAAAACTCTGGATTCTGATAGAGGGGCCATGAGACTTAACCCTGAGTGCAAAAATGGAGGCTCTAGACCCTTCCAGAGCTGAGATATCGAAACTCAAAAATTCGACCCGAAAAAAAAAAACGACAGTGGTACCCCTTTCGTTTTTTTTTTTTTGGGCGAAAAATTAAGTTTCTCCAATCTTCTCAAAACTCTGGATTCTGATAGAGGGCCATGAGACTTTAACCTGAGTGCAAAAATGGAGGCTCTAGACCCTTCCAGAGCTGAGATATCGAAACTCAAAATTTCGACCCGAAAAAAAAAACCGACAGTGGTACCCCTTACGTTTTTTTTTTTTTCGGGCGAAAAAATTAAGTTTCTCCAATCTTCTCAAAACTCTGGAATCTGCATTCTGATAGAGGGCCATGAGACTTTAACCTGAGTGCAAAAATGGAGGCTCTAGCCCCTTCCAGAGCTGAGATATCGAAACTCAAAAATTCGGCCCGAAATAAAAAAACGACAGTGGTACCCCTTACGTTTTTTTTTTTTTGGGCGAAAAATTAAGTTTCTCCAATCTTCCTCAAAACTCTGGATTCTGATAGAGGGCCATGAGACTTAGACCTGAGTGCAAAAATGGAGGCTCTAGCCCCTTCCAGAGCTGAGATATCGAAACTCAAAAATTCGGCCCGAAAAAAAAAACGACAGTGGTACCCCTTACGTTTTTTTTTTTGGGCGAAAAATTAAGTTTCTCCAATCTTCCCAAAACTCTGGATTCTGATAGAGGGCCATGAGACTTGTACCTGAGTGCAAAAATGGAGGCTCTAGCCCCTTCCAGAGCTGAGATATCGAAACTCAAAAATTCAGCCCGAAAAAAAAAAAACGACAGTGGTACCCCTTTCGTTTTTTTTTTTTTTTTCGGGCGAAAAATTAAGTTTCTCCAATCTTCTCAAAACTCTGGATTCTGATAGGGGCCACAAGACTTTAACCTGAGTGCAAAAATGGAGGCTCTAGACCCTTCCAGAGCTGAGATATCGAAACTCAAAAATTCGACCCGAAAAAAAAAAAAAAACGACAGTGGTACCCCTTTCGTGTTTTTTTTTTTTTGGGCGAAAAATTAAGTTTCTCCAATCTTCTCAAAACTCTGGATTCTGATAGAGGGCCATGAGACTTTAACCTGAGTGCAAAAATGGAGGCTCTAGACCCTTCCAGAGCTGAGATATCGAAACTAAAAAATTCGACCCGAAAAAAAAAAACGACAGTGGTACCCCTTACGTTTTTTTTTTTTGGGCGAAAAATTAAGTTTCTCCAATCTTCTCAAAACTCTGGATTCTGATAGAGGGCCATGAGACTTTAACCTGAGTGCAAAAATGGAGGCTCTATCAGGATATCTCTCCAATGGAGCGTGTTAACGCAAACGTGTAACTTTCACGTTTGAGGGGGTTAAACCGTGACATCTACACATTTTCCAAAGTGGACTATTGAGGCTGCTTCATTAAAAATGTGACATTTAGACGTTTTTTTCAGCGTGGATCGAGGCAAATGAATCCTGTTCACCTTGAAAATAATAAATGTTTTTTGCATCTTAAATATTAGACCATTTCTCATCGTCAATAAAAGAAAATTCCATTTTTCTCAGTTTAATGAAAACCAATAGGTAAGTTTCAGTTTAAGTGTAAGTTTCACGGGTTTAAACCGTGACATCTGTGTTTTCAAAAGAGCACCAAAGTGATTATTTCACGTACCGGGTTGAAGAAATATTGTTTAGGCCACTTTGTTTGATATAATCACAACAATTTAACAAAGTATGGGAATTGAACTCAGGTCTTCTTGATTTAAACCCAACGCTTTATCAACTGAGCCACTGCATCTGTTAAGTTCAAGGGTATTTTGGACAGGGTTTTATTGCAGGTTTGGCTTTATTTGTTGGAAAAATAAATGTAGAAATATAATTTGACACAAGAGGGCAGTATAGCCCTATTTATGGTTTTGAGTTTAAACTAAACCGTGACATCTACACGTTTTCCAAAGTGGACCAACGTGATTATTTCACGTCTTGTCGTGATACGGGTTGGGCACTGAAGTTACAGTTTCTTCCCGTTGCTAAGCAAACTATGTCGAGTATTTAAAAGGTTATGGTTAACACGGTTAACGTGGTTTTTAGCGTACCTTTTGCTCAAACGAGGAGCTGGGGGGACGCCGGACATGTTACTTAGGCTGCTTCATTAAAAAAAGTGACATTTAGACGTTTTCTTTGGCGTGGATCCATGCAAATGAATCATTTTTACCTTGAAAATAATAAATGTTTTTTTTTTTTTGCATTTTAAATAATAGAACATTTCTCAGTGATCGTCAATAAAAGAAAATTCAATTTTTTCGGTTTAATGAAAACCAATAAGTCGTGATGTTTTAAGTGTATGTTTCACGTTTGAGGGGGTTTAAACCGTGACATCTACACGTTTTCAGAAGTGGACCTGATTATTTCACGTCTTGTCACGATACCGGGTTGATGTGAGATACCTGTCCTAACTGTACATCTGCATCAGATACCTGTGTGTGTGTTTACAGGGGTTTCGAGATACCTGTCCAAACTGTACATCTGCATCAGATACCTGTCTGTGTTTTCAGGGGTTTCATGTCAGATACTTGTCCTAACTGTACATGTGCATCAGATAGGCTACCTGTGTGTGTTTACAGGGGTTTCACGCGAGATACCTGTACTGTATATCTTCTGCTTCAGATACCTGTGTGTGTGCGTGTTTACATGGGTTTCACGCGAGATAACTGTCCTAACTGTACATCTCAGATAACTGTGTGTGTGTTTACAGGGGTTTCACTCGAGATACCTGTCCTAACTGTACATCTGCATCAGATACCTGCGTGTGTGTTTAAAAAATATAATGGATTAAAATGCAAGCATGTTTAACACAATGCATGTTTTTCAATTGGTGCAATTCAACATGCTTTTTGTTTCAAAAGCATTTTACATTTTTTTACTTCCATAGGTGTAGATCTCAGCATCAATGGGCTATTGCACAATGCAAACTGTGTGAGGGAACATTACCTACCATAACCACCTGTTTAAAACTAATATCAACTAAGACCTTAAAACATAACAACCACACAGAAAACATTGGCTATTGCAAGTCAATGCACAGGAAATAAAACACCCAACATAACCTGACATCGACGAAGCGAAGTGCTAAAAATGCTATGGAACCTTATATCAACACAATGACAATCACCAAAAACAACACAACACTTAGCCTACACACAATAATGTACAAAACGTATACTGTACAAAATAAAACTTACTCTACAAACTAGAAACTTACTGTACAAAATAAAACTTGCTCCACAAACTCTACATTAGGCTACTCTAAATACAATATAGCCTAGAGTATTTTGGTCGTGATGGAGACTCCGGACTCCATGTGACACTGGGTCATTTAGTAGTTTTGATTAACCCGTGGGAACATAATGATTGACTTCACATTTTATCTGCCAATTTTCTTCTAGTTTAGTGTCAGCTGAGAGTGCTTGTGGAGAAGAGTACCATAATTTAGACTTTCTACCACTAGATGCCACTACAACCCTTTGTCTTGAAGGGCATGTAAGAAAATTCAATTAACACTAATTCATTATAAGACTGTTGTGTGTGAGAAGATTCGTTTTGCCATATTCATTTGCTTTTCCTAATTGTATTATTTACATTTAAGTGTAAGTTATATGTCTTGAACTTTTGTTTCCTTGTGATTAGGAAGAGAGTCAACTAAGAGTCAGTGTAGCATCTCACTGACAGCAGGAGGCACGACATTAGCCAATGAAGCGTTAACATCATCCGTATTCTCTCCCTCCCACAACCTATTTAAACAAGCATCTGCCCTTAGCTTGGGTCTTCGGGAAACCCGTAGCACACAATCGCGAATAACTGTCATCTTCAGTTGAAGAGACGTTATGGCTTTGGCAGATCCTGATTGTGGAATATCAAACGGCGCGGATTCCAGGCCCCCGTTTTCTGACATTATTGAACTAAATGTAGGAGGACAAGTGTATGTGACACGGCATACGACTTTAACAGCCGTACCGGATTCTCTCCTGTGGGTCATGTTCAGTAAGAAGACACCGACAGAACTGGCACGGGACAGCAAAGGTCGCTTTTTTCTGGACAGGGACGGCTTTCTTTTTCGTTACATTTTAGACTATCTACGGGATCTACATCTGGTTCTGCCTGACTATTTTCCAGAAAAGAACAGATTACAGCGAGAGGCTGAGTTTTTTCAGCTGAGGGACCTGTCCAAGCTCGTGTGTCCCAAAATGAGTAAAGACAACTCCATCACCGATGAGATCTGCCAGAGTGACTCGGAGGAGCCGAGCGCAACTGCGACTCCGTTGGTCGGACCCGACACCTCTCGCACGCTGTCCGTCGCCAGCACCGCTCATTCTCCTTCCCTGGAATCCAAAAAGTCGGGCTACATCACAGTCGGTTACCGGGGCTCTTATACAATCGGAAGAGACATACAAACAGACGCCAAATTCAGACGGGTCGCGAGGATCACGGTGTGCGGGAAAACTTCTCTTGCTAAGGAGGTGTTCGGAGACACTTTAAACGAGAGCAGAGACCCGGACCGACCTCCGGAGAGGTACACGTCACGCTATTATCTGAAATATAATTTTCTCGAGCAGGCTTTTGACAAACTGTCAGAGTTTGGCTTCCACATGGTCGCGTGCAGCTCCACTGGCACTTGCGCTTATTCCAGCAGTGACCCAAACGAGGACAAAATCTGGACAAGCTACACAGAGTATGTTTTCTGTCGCGAATGAGCCCAAATATGTTGCATTTAATTGTGTGTATAGCCATTCGATTACAAGAGTAAAGTTTCATCCGTCTTTTTTAGAGGTGCAACTGGGAGTTCGCCTCATTCACATGGGCTATAGGCACTTGTTTCGTTTTTTTTTTTTTTTTTTTTTTTTTTTTTTTTTGCATCATCGTTATATCGGCTGTTTACTCTGAGACTTTTAAAGCCTATTACATATGTATTGAAATAATTAACGAACGCAGAATAACAAGGCCTAGCTATTATTGCATTTCCCGTTGTAGTTTAATTTTGTTTGAAGATAAAGACGTTTTTTAATCCTGATTTGAGGGCCTATTTGTTAAAGGTCCCAGATGTGTTTAGTATAGGCTACTTGCTATTCTTTATGCATGTATTTTAAATGAATAGCCTATGTAAAATATTTCTTCATTTAATATGTCGAACACATTAAGTTATACGATTTTGATGATTGTCCATAATGGTGTTTTTCTTGGACAGTTCCACTTTCAGGAAATGGGATATCACTCCATCATTCTAGGCAACAATCTGATGGATTACTTTGTGTGCACCAGATCAGGTCTCAGTGACACTTAATAAGTTTAGCTTTATCTTTTCACTGTAAATAAATAATCCACCAAAACGAAAACTGTAAATATAATTGCTGCCTTTTTTTTTCTAAAATTAAAGTTGTGCCAAAGTTGCCTGCAGTGATTTATTGCACTTTTTTTTTTTGAATTTCATTAGGTATTTAGGAAATAGTAGAACCTCTTAACATAAAATGAAGAAAAATAAATTTGTTATAAATTAAATCAATTACAACATCTTAAAAGTGAGGCTTACAATTGTATAGCATACGCTACAATTGGATTGTATTAAATGTTGCACACTTTTTTGTTTGAGCAAAGAATGGGAATAGTTTCTGGTCTGTGTGTATCTCTAAAGTTTGAGGTTTCTATGCCTATATTACTACCGAGTGTGTCCTTTTATTCCAACATTGTAAACATTCTCTATCCGTTGTTTGTTCAATGAGTCAATCATTCAATAAATTACAATCTGTTAATCTTTCAGCCCTAGTCAGATTTCTGTGTGTCTTGTGCAGCTCTAAATTCTGGAGGGCTAAACAAGAACATGTCTAACCAGCTGCTGAACAACCCAGATTTTCTCTTCTGTTTGGTGCACATGCATCCCATGCTTTAAGTGCATTCTATTTTTAAAATACCTTTGTGGCATGGATATAGAAATGGAATCACTGAAAAAAAAAAGAATTTGAATTTAAATGGAATGTTCAAATTGTTTTAGCTATAACAAAACAATCATTTATTTTTTTGCAGAACTTTTTCTAAACTCTTCAAGCAGTGATAGAGATTCAGGGAGAAAATGAATTACATGGAAATAACTGGGATTAATAAATCTGTCCTCGGGTTTGCTTTTTGGATGGAGCATTATTAACTGTGCTCCCAAGAGGTTTGGGGGTCAGCCAGTTTTTTTTCTTTGGCTTAATCATGGATCATTGCCAGTTTTAATGAATACAATTATTGTACCAATGTACTATAGTTCCTTTTTGTACCAATGTACTATAGTTCCTTTTCCATTTTTATTGTGACACAAATGTTCCTGAAATGCAGATGGCGCAGCTGTGCACAAATATACGTGGCATTATCATTTCAAGTGCAAATAATGAATGGATCCAGCTGCAAGGTTAGGGTTACAGGACGGGTCTCTCTGTTAGCTTGCAATGAAAGTCCTGAGTTCTATTAGCATTCTACAAAATGTATTAAACATTTTCAGTTCATTACATATAAATGGGAGTAAAAATGATCTGAAAATTGTGGGGTGGACACATTATAATCAATACACTTCTGGATATAAGTGTATCCACCTTATTTTTCAAAGCAGAATTAGGCTGTGAATGTGCAAGACTTGTGATTCATTAGCTCTGTAAATAACTATACGAATGTCCAGAGTATTTATGGAAAAAAAATATATATAACGAATACCAGTTTGCAATATCAAGCAGCATATTGTCTGCATTGCAGTGACTGTGAAAAGAAGGGGACCAAGAACCGAACCATGAGGCACACCATTGGTCATTTGATGTGATTTGGCAGCTGTTCTCTCTATGGGGAAAGTTAATTTTGTCTTGCTTGTGAGGTAAGACTCAAACTAGTAAATTGCAGTTGTTGTGAAGCTCGGATCAGGGGAGAATATGGTGGTTCACCATCTAAAAGGTAGCAGTGAGGTACATAAAGTTGCATAAAACCCTAAAGTTCAGAGAAACTTCGGATGATAAGTGGAATAGCTAGAAGAAAAAAAAAGTATTCAGTTAATATCAACTCAGAATCCGATCAAATCATTGCCTCAGACAGATGACCATTTCTGAATATTTGTATATATCTCTATTCTTGCTGTTTCAGCTTACAGCATACTCTCTGTTCTCCTAGAAAACCTTTATTTTCTGCGAAAATCAGATCAAAGCATTGCATAACAAAACATACCACAAGACTGACTGCAGACTTAAAGAAAACAACAACCGTGATCATTCCAGTTCAATTCATTGCTAAAAATAACCAATACTCTCAGCTGAGAAATGTATTAATGGTCTATGCACTAATTGCACAACTAAGTTCTTTCTCAAGGAGAGCATTAAGTGAAGTGCAAATTTAATGTATTTTGAAGTTTCAATCTCCAAAAAAATGGTAGCCTATACTTTAATAAGATTCCATATTAATCAAAGTAGAATTAAATGTCAGCATCCTTATCAACACCATTGTGCACACACACTCAATCTTGCATTCATAAACTGTTTCCCAATCGATGTGTGTACGTATAAGAGGCCTAATGAGGTGATCATTACTTGTCCCTCGTTGACGTAAATTCTTCAAAAGAATTTAATTTGAGAGTATGTTCAACATTCCTGTTGCTGGTGCTAACAGACTCCCGTGAGCAAGACTCATATTGCTCTTTAAAGAGCCCCTATCATGGATTTTTGATGACTGTTCATGTAGTGTGGACTATAGCTCTAATGGAATGAAAACATCCTGCAAAGATTTATATCTGAAAGTGCACCGTATATAAAGTTATTGTCTTTCAAAAGTGAGAGTCGACTCTGAGTCTATGAAATGAATTGTTTTTGAAACGAGTCATTAGCTGTTACATCGTGACGTAGAAACCCCTTGGCCGCTCCCAACAACTGTGCGCGCAGACGGAACTTGAAGTCTAGATTAGAACACATTCAAATACTTCAGCTAAATCGCATCATGTCGAAAAGACGCTGTGTTCTACATTGCAAAGACAGTTCAGCCACTTGATTTCATTGTCCAGGGACGAGCATGTGAAGAATCAGTGGTTAGAGTTCATTTTGCAACGATACCACAACAGTATAGCCCGAACCTTGTATTCTCATCATTTTAATGATGAATCATTCAAAAACATAAATAAATTCAAATGTGGATTCGCAAGCCGGTTGTTCCCGAAGGAGGGCTCAGTATCCAGTGTATATGGATCAGGTTCGTCCTCCTCCGAATCACAATCTGTAAGTATTATTAATAATGTTTGCTGTTATGTTTTTTTGTAGCATGCTCAATATTATATTCTGTTGTGAGTGTTTTGTACACTCCGCGCAGCTTCTAAGCGGGGTAAAGTTAGTTTTGTTTTTGATATTCACCAGACATTCACTGAAAAATGGCAATTACCTCCTAAACGACTTAGCCAAATATGACGTCGCTCTATATAATAAGCACTGCCCCTCAAAAGCCGCCGCAATGTGAGTTTCGCCGGGAAAGCTTTTTCTTGACAGACACGCGAGTAAGGGACCGTGGAAAGTGTACTTTTTCTGACACGTTTGTTCAAACACTGTATACAATACTTCACAAGCTATAATCCATTAATGGTGATGGGTGTTTTCGACAATCTCTTCCTACGGTTTACCAATAACAATTGACTGGGTCATTTGACCAATCGCCGCAGATTCGCATCACTCAAAGAAGGTGTTTGGGAAAATGAATCATCGAACGAATCATTTGGGAGTCGTTGAGCAAATCAGGTAAAAATAACTGCGTATTATAAGACAAATAAAGTGTTTGTTATCCTTGTATGCACGTTAAACTGTTTTTGGGAACTCCCAAAACAAAAAAGGAACATTTCAAATGCTATGATAGGGGCTTTTTAAGCTAACTGAACAAATTGGTAGGCATTATAAAGCTACAAAAAATGCATCTTAATCAGCATCACATTTGCAGGCATGGTTGTGCAGCACTTGCATGATGTGCTATTATTCAACGCATTCTCACCCCAAGGCGTCACCTTTGACCATGCTTCAATATTTGACGTTTTAGGCGCCCTTTAGCGTCACTTACATGACGCGATCCTACGGCGTCATCTAACTGACGCTAAAGGAAAGCGTCAGTTAGAGGACGCGGTTAGGTTTAGGTGTGGGGTGGGGGTAGCGTACACACGATCCTAGGGCGTCATCTAACTGACGCTAAAGGGCGCCTAAAGCGTCAGATATTGAAGCTTGTCCAAATGCTTCCCAAGGCGAGAATGGGCTGTATTATTTTTATTCTTCTTTTTGGAATAGATTCAATGTATAAACTGCAACTTAATTACAGCTAAATGCAGGGTGATTTGTTATGTAGACTCATTAGGGGAGGGAAGGCAGTGGATTTTTGACATCTTTGAAAGCATTTTGAAACAAACCACTGACAACTCCATTACCTTACAACTATGGAATGGAGTCCCATGGGAACAGACATTAACGGTTTAGTTGTTCGTTGCCTTGAACACTCCTTGACGCATGAAAACCGGTTTATGATGTAGTTATTTTAGTAGTATCATTATGAAGATTAACAAATAAGATGTATTTTAGTACTCACTGTCAAGATAGCATATTGATATTGGTAAAGTTTAAAATATATACTTATTGATTCGCTAACGAGCGAGTTATCTACAAAGCAAAGCTAAAAACACGTTGCATGATACACGTTTTTCCATTGCCATCATTTACACTTTGATGAAGATGAACTTCGTGCAAGATTCACAACATATACGGTGTTCTGCATGTAAGAGTTTCCATGATGATGAAAGCATTGTTGACTCTAATGAGGACTACACTCCAGAGACAAGTACCACATCGTCAGCTCGAGGACAGATCCGGGGTCGAAGGCGAAGCAGAGGAGGTCGCGCAAGAGGCTGTGCAAATAGGGTCCGAGGAAGTAGAGGCCGAGGAGGTCAACGAGCACTTCTTGGACAAGAGGACCCGCGTCGAGTTTTGCATCATCATCTTCATTTTATCACCAATAAAATATTTGGTCTATAATAAGCATCTGTTTTCCCATCCCAGCCTTGTTTATCCATAGACCAGGATTATAACTGTTAGTCAGTTAGTCCTCTCATGTGCAAAAACAATAAGCTTTCCCATTTTTAACATAACATTTTAAGCCTGCAAAAGTTCTGTTTATTGAAAAAATTCTGCCATCTTGTGTGGCAAAAGGGTGGTTGCCATGGTTGTGAGAGAGTCTGTTTTTTAAATCACACCTTTAAATCTGCAATGAAATGTGATCACATCTAATGCAATTGCATTGTTTTCTCATTGAAGTAAGCTCAAATGAAGTTAAATCAAAGGAAACAACATTTAAAAATGAGGTACTATTGTTTTGTAAAAAGTGCATACTGAAAACTATTATGTTGAGTTCACCAAAACAAGCTGTCTAGAGTTTTAAAATGAAAATTCCAACAAGGTACAGTGCAGTGACCTGTACAAACATAAGAATACGCAAATGTAGTTTGACTTGCAAGGCTCTCCTCGCAGAATACATGCTTGATTTTTAGTAACTTAGAAAAGTATTTAGTGTAAGGACACTAATTCAGTATTAAAAAGCTTTGTCACTTGTCACCTGCTTTCCTTCCACATCCCCAGTTGCTTCTAAAAAAACATGACCCTAGTCCCATCTTTAATCAACTCCTTATAATAAACACTTAACACAGGTGTTATGCAAAACATTTGGAGGCTGTTTGGCCTAAAACATTAATAGGCAATTGGAATCTGTTGGCCTTAAGCTCTGCCAAATCCAATGCA